CGTACTTACCAACGCACGCACGCACGCTCGGCCCTAGGTTAGGGAAGTTTGTTAGTAACGAATCTACATACTCCCTGCGCCTCGGTAGTGGTTGATTAATCTCACCGGCAATATGTCGATCCGTCTAGGTATATGTCAGTCTGTAGGTCCGTAGGTCTGTATCACCAACCCGAATACGGTTGGCGTATTCACAATCAAGTGTATATGCGTAGTGTAGCTTCTGGCTTACGTTATCGTTATTCACTTATAGCTTTCGAGCGGGGATAGAGAAGAATAGGTTGTATTCCCTAACCCATGACCATAGCACTAGGCCTTAGTTTTTTTAACACGTGGAGAAGGCAGAGGATAGAGAATACTGATTCAGATTACCTACTCACCTACCTATGCTATCCTGGTGGGTTATTATTCGTCTGACATTTCCTAGTGTAGATAACGTCCTAGATTAAGTATCTGTAGATAGGATGGTTTACACCGGTGCGGGCGCCTCACCGCTTGCTAAGTGTGTAAGAAGACCGAGGATAGGATATCTAATCACACTCGGGCTCGGCTTTTGCCGTTAGATTACTCTGTAGGTAGATATATGTTGTGAGATAATCGGCATGCCAAGGTCACTGCCATTATGGGTAAACCGAGTGTAGCGGTATAGCGAGCTTACCAAAGCGGTGAAATTTTTCCTCAAGTATTTTCTTCATTTTTGTCTTGAAGATGTAATTCGGTAGGTATTGGAAGTGTAGGTAGTTCGCAAACTCATGCAACTTTTTCTTAATTCGCGAAACAAGCATGCGGACCTAATGCAAGGGAAAGAGGCGGGGGGACAAGCTTGCAGCAACAATCATGCATATGCGAGATGTATGTAGGGTAAAACGGCACACAGGGCTGGCGAATGAGAGCAGCGCGTTGATCCAACCTGAACCTTTCACTTCTGGGCAGTTTGTTTCGCATCGCCGCGTCACATGGGCAACAAGGCAAATAAATGCACAAAACTGAGCCACACGTTTACGCACGTTGCCAGTCTGTCACAAACATAATACGCGTTCACATATTACATGCAGGAACTTGGTATAGGTAGGTATAATACGGGCTTGTGCACTAATACTAACACTAACACTAGGAGTGTGCCGTCCCGACGATTCGGCACGAGGGTGGGCACATGCGTTGCGCCGTGGCTGTGTGCAAGCGGTGGTGGGCTTGCGTAAGACACATACCCTGATTATCCTGTATGTACTCCGTAGAGAGGGCAGAGATACCTAGATAGAGCCAAGAGTAGAGTCGTGCGCGGACTGGGTGGCAAATACACAGACAGCGTCGGGGCGGATCGGATGGATGAAGATGGATGGCGTTCGGCTCGATGCTTATGCCCTACCCTACCCTACCCTACCTTTTCGCACACTACACTACGGCTTACACTCACACTCGATGTTGCTCGCTTAATCAGGTAGTTTTCTGATATTCTAGTGTACTGGCGCTGACGGCTGGGATGAAGCTATGCAGAGATGGCTTGCATGGGCTTCGGAGATCCCCGACAACAACGTCTGTTTCTACTGCAATGAGAATAATCGTTGCGGTCAACAAGAGGACTCTCATATTATGGTGAGAATAGAGGGGGCGATTCTAGTCACTAGTTGGGAAGCGAGCTACGAAGGATAGATGTTCAGTTTAGAGGGTTCAGCGTATATTTTGAATGGTATCGAAGCCACGAATAGGTATTAGCACTAATAGATGCCCGTAGTTGACGAGAAAGGGAAGAAACAACCAGTCCTACCCCAAACGCCACCTATGCTGAGGGTTCGATGTTATATAGAAAGTGACCATGATGATGAGGATAACCAGTAGAGGGCGGTAATGCAATGACTATGACTATGATGCCGAAAGGAGAGAGAGAATAAATCAAGAGCCCCCAACACCGTCCCATGCAGTAGATAATAACCCTGACCCGTTAGGAAAAAAATATGCAGTGGATGGATGAAATATGCTAATTCAGAACTCCTTGACCGGTAACACGAACCGAACCTTCTTCCGGGGCTTTGCAGCCGGTATATCTATAGGTAGAGTCTTCCCGTCTTCGAGGTTCTCGAGGCTCAGTCCCATCTCGCTCCTCGTTTCCTTCTCCGGCTCTTCGTCGATGGACCAGACGTCTGGACTGGGCTCGCGCCAGGAGTGTCGCCGCTGTAGTGTACGGAGAGCAGGCCTCCCTCGGATGGCGCGGCGAGGAGGCGGTGGACTGAAAGGCTTCGCCAGGCGGCCCGTAGGCGATCCAACGTGGAAGGATGATGGGGATAGTAGAGCTTCACTGGAGGGGGATATGGCGTGGCTGGGAGAGCCGTGTCGAGGGTAGTCGAAGTAGTCTTCGAGGCCGAATGGGAGTGACCTCTGGGGGGTGAACCGGATGTAGTCCTCTTCATCGTCGTCGCTGTCTTCTTCTGGCTTGTTGTAATCCGCTTCTTTGCTCTTGGGCTTGTATCGCCTTAGGCCATCGAGTGTTGAAGGGCTAATGCTCCGGACAATCTGACGGGGACTGCTCGAGTCCTCGATGCCTGCATCGAAGTCAAACTCGAACTCCATCTCGTCATCTCCGGGTGTCGCAGGTGTTAAAAAATATTTGAGAGGGTTCTCGGGTCTTGAGGAGCTATCAATGTCTTCATCGTCCGTAGAAAGACCGTCCTTGTCCTCGTCAAGTGCCGGTGGAAATCGGCTAGGGCTCGAAGGCCATAACCCGGTAGTCGGCCATGACTGCCGGGGTGTTGAGTTAAGTGCACCAGATGGTAGGAGAGGCATGTTGCTTGTTTATAGTGAAGCTTCAAGGGTGAGGTCCTTATTAAGAGATGGAAGGCTCCTAAGTATCATTTCCAGGCGGTTTAACTTGGAATAGTTCACAGTTTGGATGAGTGGTCACTGTCTTATACAAATTAGACCTTCTCGAAGATGCCGGGCCCAAGCCGGCTCAAAAGCGAGAAGCGTAGAAGCGACAGAAGAAAAGAAGTCGAAATCTCAAGCGAGAAGTGTCCAGTCGGAGTAGCACAATAAGAAGGACGGACAAGGTATGGCAGCAAGGCCAGATATATATAATATTTCACCCTAGGCAGAAGGTATAATGCATACAGCAAGGGCGTGGCTGATGCTCGGTTAGTCACCTGCTAGCCGAACAAGTTGCCTTGTGGGTTGATAGACAAAGATTGAGGGTGGTGGTCATCCCGGTCACTCAGCTGTTAAGAAGTATAGGTAAGATATCTCAGAAAACCCCACAGACGCGACGGGCGCGCTTGGAAAGGCAGCGGGCAGCGAGCGGCCTAATGCTTATTGCCGTGAATCAATCACCGGGCGCAGGAAGCGAAAGACTCAGACTCATCTCTTGGGCCAAGATAGAAAGTGGGAGAGCCAGATAGCCCAGATAGCTACCCGAAATGGCATGATGCATGGCAGAATGGTGTGCAGCCCAGAACGGAAAACCGAGTGAGGACAGTGAGGATACGAGCGCCCTCCGACCTGTCTTCCTGGAATCCTGTCTACCTTGCTGCTACTAGTCACCGGTAGTCAGACAAACCGCCATCCCCCCCCACTCTAGCTCCTCTTGTTGCTCTTGTCAGTCTCGTCTTGTAGGCATCTGACGTCCTTTGCACACCCTCTTGCGTTGCTCTATTCTGCAGATCCGGTATAATGTGCGTCTGTATGCGACGCTGATGAGGCTCGTGAGCCCTCGTATCATTCGCTGCTGTCTTAGAGCCGATCCAAATGCAGAGTCAGGGATCGGGATTGCGCATTACTGCAGCGTCCGCTTTGTACCTTGCATGAGTTGGGTGCTCAACTACAGGGAACCACAGGGAGCCATTTGTGCAGTGCGGTGGTGTGATGCGCACGACTGGATGAATTCCCAATCGAAAGCCGGCTGCTGCGGCTATGATGGACAGGATGCTTACATGAGAGGTATGCTCTAACATTAGAGCTGTCTCTAGATAGCGGCCGTTAGCTGTACCTAGTGTAAGCAGCCTACTGCACTACCAAGCTGTAAACAAGTGCTGTAGCACATCAGAGGTAAAGTCGAACGCAAGATACCTTGCGTTACTTAGCTGACGAACTAGTGGTGCACATGTGTGTAATGCAAATCGATATGGCAGGTAATTACACAGAGCGATGTGTAAGTATTGCCACTGCAACGAGGGACTATTCTTTCGATCATGAAATTATTGGTATGTAATCCGCAATCCCGAGATGATCGACATCATCCAGTCAAATGGACATACTCGAGCCAGGATGTTGGTGGAATACTGTCATAAACATGGGTTTCATGGGTACAACCCAGCTCGAAAGTACTCCATACTCGTGCGGAGATGGTTTGCGCTCGTTCGTACGAAGTACCTGTATTGATTCACTCATTCCCTCAAACATCGTCGCATGGTTCATGGCACAACCATGCTCATATCGCTTTGAATGCGACTGGCGAAACCACGGCGAAATGTAACTGTGCGGAGGTGTTGTTTGCCTCATAGAAGCACTTGATGGGGGATTTCACCACCCATCATATGACAGGGCGTGTTAAGCCTATCGCCCGACTGCAACCCAAGGAGGCAAATGAGGGGGAGTTTGAGGGTGGACGGGTCACGGCTACAAGCGATGACCCCTCACCGGAAGGATTCGGGACTTGCATTGAGCAGACCTTGTCAACTTGTTGCCTTGAAGCCGATTTGCCTTCGTCCAATAGGTTTCGAGGTGTTCAAGGCATGCGCAGATGGGTTTCTTCGCAGACAGCCGAACTCCCGAGGGTTCATGCTACGCAGACTACAAAAAATCCTGGTAATGGCAGCATAACAAACAGACAGGTATGAACATAGCTGTAGATAGTTTGACCTCCAGCTCGCCCACACTCAACTTAAGCCACACTAGACTTCTTCAATTGGTCTGGGGCGCAGTTCATTAGCGGCACCACAAAACATCCATCTGAAGCGAATGCTAAAGTCCGCTTTAGCGAAGACCGAACCCACACGAGAAGTTCACGTTCTCCCTTGGGGCTTGTGGTTTAGTGGTATAATACTCCCTTAGCATCTGCTGGGCCTCCTTCGAGGAGGCGCACGAGAAATTGGGAGTGGTCCGGGGTTCGATTCCCCGCGAGTCCAGCATCGGTGGTTCAATCCCACCTATATCCTCGATTTTCTCCGAATTGGTGTAGTGGCTAACATTTGACGCTCTCATAACTGAGGAGTGCCGTCAAGCCCGGGGTTCGATTCCCCGATTCGGAGTGGACTTTTGTCTGTGGGAATGCCTGCAGGCCTTTTCTTTTTTTGGTGGCATTTCCTGTAGTCGACTGCGAAATCGCGCACTGAGCTAGAGGACGGTGAGCTCATTCTTATCATCAGTATTCAGCATTCATAGCAAGGTGCGGAGGCGACATTTCGATAGCATCTAAGTGTGTGCCAACGATGAATATTCACTCAGTTGCAGAGTAAGGGACTTCGGCAGTTTTTAAGGTTAATATACAACCTTGCTGCCGATCCCCGTCTGTGGATTGCACGCTGCGGCTCAGCCCGTGTCCGCGTAGAATTTGGAGTTTGCTGCAGCAGGCTCCCAGATCGCGATAACACGGCGACTCCCGGCCAGATAGGCAGATAAGTGCAGACCTATGGATTCACCGAGCTCTTCCAATGAAGTGGTGTCACGTGAGACCTGCGATCACGTGATAATCACAGTTGATGAAGAAGGCTTCTTTCGTCCAATCAGCATCTGAAGAACGATCACACATCCAGACTAAACACCCACCTCTCATGATCACAGCTTGATCGTCGCGATCGTCGATCGCCCTTAGATCAAGTGCTCTCGGGGGTCATATTGTCATGTTTCAGAGCAACACTCCCACCTCAACGACCCTGACCCGTCTGGTATGGAATTAGCCATGGGATTGTTGAAATTGGATAGCGGATTTGAGAATTAGCACCTGCAACGGGTCCTGCCGTGCTGGTTGCACGACAGTTTGCGCATGGTCGAGTCTCAGCTGTTGAGATCCAGAGATCACCCCTGGACCGGGGCCCGAGCATCAGGCCGCAACGGGGCAGGCTGTCAAGAGATGCAACCAGCTGGTCCATCGCTCGGCCCGGCCAGGAACGGCGCTGGGGCACCGTCGCTGGAAGACGAGTAGAAAATTCTACTGTTACCAGCTTATCGTCTCAAGCCCACAGCTGCCCCGTATACTGCAGTCTGATAATCATTCGTCGGCAGAAGCTGGCAACCGACAACATCACCCATGGACGAGACAAAATAACGGCTGCACATGAGGGTTGGAGCCCTGATCGTGCCCCGGTTTTGCTTCGGGATCTGAACCATACGAACTGGCAAGCCGATGGGTCTTCTCGTGTCAATAACTTGCCAAGGACTCCAATATTTGCTGTTATATTGTCTTGGTTGCCTCACGTGTTTCCTACCTTTGCTCGACTTGAGACGAGGAAACCACTGGTGGAAACCCAACTCTGTCTTGGCCTTGTGGCCGTTAGACGACATGAAATCTATTGCCCTCATGTGTAATATACTTCTGCGGTAGGGGACCGCTAGTTGTGGACATCGCACTCGTTCAGTTTTAGTCAAATCCAAACAGCGAACGAGTTCGTTCAATTTTGCAGATGCATCCCAGGCCAATCTGCGTCTGCAAGTATTACCAATCTTTCGTCGGTATGTAGCATCATTCTACTGGTAGCAAAGGGTGTAAGAAAGAGAATATGTTGATACCCATCTTACAGACTAGTATATTGAGTACGTGGGCTTATTACAGCTTGTTGTTCAGCTGTCGTATATGCGAAACATCCGGTTCCTGCTACACCGAGGGCGTGTGCAAGATTCACTGGCGGAGAGGAGCTCGATTCTTACACATGGCATAGCTGTCAACTGAGTCGTCGCCATGGTGGATGTACCGGATAGTGGCGTCAACGGACTGGATCACTACCATTCAGCCCATCTATTTGGCAGCAATAGATGCAAGCAAGCTGGGTCCGGCCTGATCTAGACGGGCTGTTTCGGTTGGCGATCTGTGCAGTCGTGAGAACAGCGTGAACACCCGCATATCCCGACCATCCGTTATTCGTGCCTGGTTCTAAAGCACGGTTCAACTTCAAGGATGATGATCGCGTCGTCATGTGAATTCTGACCGCCTTAAGCAATGAATTTTAATGCCACGGCCGGCCAGTGCTGTTGCAGCTATCTGCCAGGACTAAGCACAAGCTTGTCAGCGAAGACCGACGCGAGGGAGAGGGCCCGTTTCCTCCTGGTCGAAAAGAGAGCAACCACGTCACTTCGAAATTGGACGCAGTGCGGCCAGAACTTAGTGCCATAGATTTCAAATTGGTTTTTAACCGAAAAAGCACCTAGTACAATGACCTCGTGGCGTGGTTCGGTATCGATATAATGCCGTGCCTTGGAGGCTGGGACATAATGACGCAGTGAGCGTGGCCCTTCGATTGAAAAGGCGGTGAGGCACTCAGTGGATGGCGGCCAGAAAAGTCCCAGCCATCTTTCTCGATGAGCAAGGCACGCATACCGGTAGTGTAGGTATCGCAGATGCCAAGTGACCCACCACAAGAGAGCTTAGCCATTCTCACGACAATTACGGAGGACGGAGTAGTTTATAGTATTCTGTAGATTTATCTCTTGCTGCCCTTGCCATCTTGTATAGGAACTGACGATAAACGACGCGCGTTCTACGTGGACATTACAGTCCATCCCTTGTGTTCCTAATGAGGCAGGTAAAGTTCGCATTGCTGTTTAAAATTGAATATCCATGGTGAGTCGTGACGGGGTCTATGATTGTGTGGTCGCCCTTTTATGCCCTTTAACCAGGGGCCGAGCATCTTCTCAACATAGACAGACTTAGACTTGGTTCCTGCGCTTCCATGGGTGAAAATTCACTTGAATTTGTCCTCTAAAGCGGCCTTAGCTATCCACTCTTTGGGGAATTGATATAACTCTCGAGGAGTGTGTACTTATAATGATAAGGCGTCTGGAGAGAGTAAATATAGCGAGTGGTATATCCCCGACAACAACAGCGAAGTGGCTTCTGGATCAATCTCGTATCGGTCCGTAGTGTATAATTGTGCCTCGACGAATCTGTGGTACTAGTATGTGCACTGTTCAACTGTGCATATTTTCTGTCTCATAGGAGCAAGCAAGGACAGAATCTCAACGCCCTTCGCGACTCATCTGTTTATTAAATGTAAGCAAGTGGCTCTTTTTCACAACTGCCTACCTATAGGTACCTATGTAGAGCACAAGCGGTAGGATTGCATGCATGACTGATGCATACGTACGAGTCGACGTAGCCACAGCCACATGCACGCTCTCCAATCTTCTATTTGGCTCTGTTAGGTGAGCAGGCCGACCTGCACGAACTAGCAAATTGAGCAATGCACTCACTCACTGACTGCGATTTTGGTGTCCCAAAAGGATAGCAGTGTGGTACATCAAGCTCTGCAGCGGTGCAGCGCGAGCGAAAACCGTCGTATATGAGTTACAACGGCGTGCTCAGTTGATGCCGGTATTATGTCATGCTGGTTGTCGTACGGAGTCTTCGGTAAGACTACAATGTCTGATAGGCCACGATAAGATATATAGAAATAAAGCAAAGCTATGCCGTACTAAGCCACTAGACGTACCTGATAATAATTGAGATATCGAGCTGCAATTCGTTCATCGTGCACCATACAGGTAATACAGTCAAGGGGCATCCTACAACACTACACCGTGCCTCCTGGTCTGGGGGCCGGGTGCTCTGGGTTCGGCCAAGTGTTCAGCGGCAGTCCAGGGTCCGCAGACCGCTCTGGCGCCGCTATGCCACGTCCTCCTTACTGGCGCAGACGGCAGCGAGTTGGAGGACTCGAGGAGGTGTCGGTGCACAAGAGCCGCGCGTGACCTCATCTCGCGAAAGCGCACGATGACTCTTTGGTCGAGGGCCACAGCAGCCATAGGTGGAGAGCGCGCCGTCTCGCTCGGGAGTGGCCCCCAGGAGAGCGTGGAAAAGTGCTGGCTAATGCAGACTTCCTTCTTGCTGTAACCCGGAACGGCAGGGTGGTGGGACTTTGCGCTCCTCCGTGACAGAGCACTGTATACTGACTGTATGCAGGATTATATGTGGCAGGAGAATGGTTGCGCTGGCCTCCATCTTTTGCCTGCAATCCAGTGCCTACACTAGTCCCACGAGCAAATAAGATGGCCCCGTCTGAGACTGCCCGGATGCTGTGATGGGGCCATAAGTCGGACATGGCGCTGCGGTATGCGTTGTCGATGACAGTCGAATTGGCATCCCACCCTTTCTTTTCCAGCTCTTGCGTTGTTTTTGTTCCTTTGAAATCACCTTATGTAGCCATACAGGTTGCAACTGTAGAGCCACAAAGGCATCACGAACCACCGAAAAAGACTCATTTTAGCTGTTTGACTTTTTTGTGCGCCCTGACCAGTTGATTATATCTGGTCGTGTTGTAGAGTCCCAGTCTCAGGTCCTGCTTATTCAGATTCCGAGAACGTCGGCCGTATTGCTACCCAAGACCCAATTTGGGCATTAAACCAGCCAGACGGATGCACCCGCAGGTTCTGCTCTGTCGAGAAGCATCGGAAAACGTCCCTCTTCTCTGGTCTCTTGGTTCTTCGAAAGACAATTCTGAACCGGTCGAAATTGTTAGAACGTTCTGCGCCAAATCATAGCCAGCCTAGACAGGCAGTACCTTGAATTACCAAGTTGCATACTATCCCACGCTTGTTCCACGCTTGTTCCACACAAGCTCCAGCATAAGCTACAGTACATCTCCAGGGTGAACACGCCTGTCGACCTAGGACCTAGGCCGAAGAGACCGGCGCACCGACACGCTGTTCGGACCAGCCCAACATTCGCCACCAAGAACGCCTCACGATAGCACACGGCGAACACAGAAACTTGCCCTTGGCGGCGATCGACACGGCCACGACAACCCACGACATCCATCACAGCGACGATCCCTGGATTACTGGCATGATAAGACGAACCTGCGACAGGGAAGTCCTCGCACTGGTTTCCGCGCCGCTTCTTTAACGGCGATTGTCCGGCTCAGTCTGCGCACAGCACCCAGCAGGTCAGCACCCAGCACAGAACCAGCACACAGCATCTAGCACATACCCAGCGCCTACGGTAGCGCTCTCAAAGACCGCGAACGAGGCGATTACTTTCGGGGTCCCGTCCATCCGGTGCTGCACCCGTCTGGATCCTAATTGATTACGACCCGACTAGGCA